TGATGGCGCTGAGATACCATGAGTTGGCATATCAGCTTAAAGGCGGGAATTGATTGTGATATGTTCTTCATTGGGGTCGTTTTGAGTGTGCTTCAGTCTTTTGGCCTTAACTTTGGCTACGGGTGTCAAAATCGTGCATAAGACCCCAATCCGGAAAGCTCTTTTCAACGCGCACGCTGTCCACATTGAGTTATGCTCTATGTGACATTTTTTTCGACCTCAAATTATTCCGTTTTCTCCTCCGAATCACTAGATTTATATTTTTTTTTACTATTTATGATAATATTTTGATTGTCAATTAGGAAGTCATTTTAAATCTGATTTCAGTCGTATTTTTTGCAGATTGCTTATTTTATTTTGAATTTCAATTTAGAGTGATTTTCGGAATTTTGCTATTTTTAGTAAAATTCTGATAATCAAGATTTTTGACTATAACAGTCCGGCTTGTTAACTGATTTTGGATAGTTTTTGATTTTATAATATTTTATTAAACCCTAAAGACTTTTTTCTCTGGTTTTTTGGCGAATTTTCTCTTGTGAATCATCTGTTGGAACTAGCCTACAGGATAATCGTTATTCTGTCTAGCGTCACTAAACTATCAGTTTTAGTACATAAATTTTCAATTTTTTTCAAAATCATACTTAACTTTTAATTTTCGTTTCATTTCAGTATCCCGTCGTTAAAAATTTAACACATTTAATAACTAAACTATCAATTTTGATCCGTTTTAATACTTAAACTGCTAAAAAAATTAAACTTATCATTAAATTTTAAATTAGATACTAAAATAAAATTAAAATTTTTAACGACAAAATACGAAAATGATACAAAACTATACTTTTGAAAAATATTAAAAGTTTTAACGGTAAGAGCCAAAAGCTTCATTCGTAAGTGAGCGCGTGTGCTGCTGCAACTTGGTTGTGGTTTCAGAAACATAGAAAACAGAGGAAGCCGATGAAATTAAGACACACGTCGAAGGTGGTCTCATCGAAATTTAATACAATCTTAATTAGAAAATGGCTTTTTGTTGGAAGGTATTATTATTATTATTATTATTATTATTATTATTATTATTATTATTATTATTATTATTATTATTATTATTATTATTATTATTATTATTATTATTATTATTATTATGTTTAGGAGGAGGGCCTGGGTGTGTCCGGGTGCTTTGGTTACATGCTCTGATTGTCAGTTTTTGCCTTGAGAATTAAAGGGTGTTTTTCTGTGCTGTGCTGTGCTGTGAGGTGCAGTGGTGGTGCCACACTTGATGCCCAGCCGAGAGTGACATGTTTGTATAACAGGTTGTGTATGTTGTGCTTTTCCAAGTCTCTTCTTTTATTACCACACCTGTAGGCTTGCCTCATTATTTTCAGTCCTCGAAAACGATAGTTTTATGTAAAGATGGCAAGTTAATCCGAATACGACGGGTTTAGGCTCGACCCGTTTTATTTATGTTGCTAGCATGATATTTTTACATCTGTTTAATGGATGAAGTGACATTTATAATATCATCAAAGAAAAGTCATGGCATGTGACGTGTCACGTACATCAATTAAACACGTGTGCAAATGTCACGTCAGTAACATATGTTGATCGTTAGTCAATTAACTATTTTCATCCGACGTTGACTATTTTTACCCAAAATTAAAAAATTCAGAGTTAAAATGATCCCAAAAAGAATATGGAGCATACCGACTATTGATGCAAACATTTTGTCATTATATCATTAAAATTTCCTCATATTGTTGTGATTTGTAATTCTATTAGCTATTTATTCGAATAACGAGATGATACATTAATTTTTTAAAACAAAAATTAGAAGTTTTTAATGTGAATTTAGATTGTAAAGATCATCTTCATACTAAATTATTATAGAACCTGATTCAGACTAATCTATCAATAAATCAAATATTGATGGTACTGAAAAACACGATTCTTATTCTTCTATGTTTGAGCCACAAGTAAAGGGCATTGGAATTCTTTATACAACAACAACAAAACCCTATTTTCATATACAATGGGGTAAGGGGGGTAGGGTAATAGGATGTCCGAACGCAAGGTTGAAAGCAACTTCCGTGGAAGACCTCCGGCAGTCAGAAAATTAAAAATAAAGATAGAATGCAATGCATGTATAGTTAAATAAATAAACACGTAGTTGAACAGTGTTAGTAATGCATTCTTCAATATTCGCATCTGTAAATGGGAAGTAATCCCTGCAAATAAATCCCTGCATTGAAATTCTTTATGCATTCTTTAAATTAATACTTAGAAAAATAGTTTAAATCACATGATTATAGCTTATATGATAACTCAATTAATTTGAAAAAGCTTAGAAATTATGATTGGTTAGTAAATAGAGATGAAAAGAAAAGTTTTAGCTTGTTTTTAATAAGTTTAAAATAAAAATACTGTATACATAAAGGCAGTAAATTATTTAAAAGATATTGAATATTTATATAAAATAAATATTATATTAATATATAATATATTAATAATGTATTATTATATTGTCTCACATCAATTTATGATGTATAGGCAGATATGTGTAAGTGTAAAAAGCTGGTTGCTCAACTCATTATATGACCTTTGGGCCTGACAGAATCTCATTTTGTCGTTAGAAAATCTTTGTTTCTCATTATTTGTTTTTTGTTTTTCATTATTTATTTTTTGTTTTTCTGATTGGCGCCTCCGCCGAGGGCCACCCACCTGGTGTAAAGTTGAACCACCTTGTCTCGGCCACACACAATCCTTATTTACTTCGATAAAAAAAATACTCCTTATTTACGCTTTAATTTTAAATATTATTTTAATTTATCGATTCGAATTAAATATTATAAACATTTATTATGAGGATGATCATTTTAATTCGGTTGTTTAAAGTTAATAGAGACGGAGTCAACATCGTAGTTCACGTGGGACAAATTATAACTATTTTTTAAAAAAAATGGGGTAATTCATAATTATCCCATTAATCTGTTTAAAAATATATAAAATGGAAATAACAAGGTACCTTAGCCGCCTATATTTTCTTTCAACATAGTTTTCTTTTTAATATTTTTACGTCGTATTCATCTTTCCCTTCGATTTTTGTTTAGTTTACGGCGACACTAATCTTATTGTTAGTTATCGATCGTCGATGGCTATTAATTTTTTACGTCTTTTATTTATTTATTTTTTGCTTGAGTATTTTTAATTTCGAATAAGCTTTTATGTCATTGTGATATGATTTTTCTCTGCTCTTATGGCATGATCCTCATGTTGTTGTTGGAACGCTTTTCGCATACCTCTGCGGTCGTTTTAGTTCTCGCTAAAAAAACATCCCGACATTTATATTCTGATTGGTTAGTCGGTGATCACGTATAGTCAGATCCCCTCTTTTGGTAAAAGGTTGTTTGTCGATTTATTCATATTATATAGCGAAAACAACCTGCCAGATTATTTGATTTGCTCTTCACTTCTTTATCCTTTAGTTCAAGTGTCTCATTGAACAAAGACAAAAAAATCTTATTAAGGTTATTGGATTTTGATTATTAGTCACCATTCTTATTAGAATGTTTTAATTTTCTTTATATTTTGATGCGTTATAATTTTGATTCATTCTATTATTATTAAAATCCGGTTGTCGTTGTTCAAAAATATATATGTGAAATGGTGCATGAAAGGACCGAAATAAAAGGAGGAGCAATTAGTTTGAACCAAAAGATAAGGTTAGGGTTTAAAGCAAGAAAGTGATAAAAGGGGATAATGGACAGCTTCGTTCCTTCCAGTTCTTTATTATCTGACCTAAAAGTGTGGGGTAATCCTCCATTATAGATCCTACGAGTCCCCCTCTGTGGGACGACAAGTCCATGTGACCCATAAAAACCCTAAACCAGATGACTAAACCCAGCAGCAAAAGCAAGCACAAAAAAGGCAAAAGCCGCTGCTGCCCCTAAAATTCCTTGAAAACTCCAATTATTTTTCTGGTGCATGTCAACGCTAAAACAGTCTCAAAAGGGAGCAACAACGTCTGAGCCGCCGTCAGTGTAATCATTCTGCACCTGAATCACGGCCTCTCGAAGCTCTCTTCGACTTCCCAGAATTTGTTCCAAAAATATGGATTATTTATTGCATGGTAGAGGCAAACGCACTGGGGGCAGTCCCTCGAAACAGAAACGCATTGATTTTCTCAAAATTATAATCTCTTGTAATCACTGCAATATAATTGAAAAGAAAATTTTCCCCAGAAACGTTCCTCTCTTGTTTGGTTTCTCGGAAATGGCCGACGGCAATTACTTCTCTTAGGTGGCGGAGGCAGAACGTATACGAAATGCTAGTGCAGTGCATGCCTTTCTTCACTCGATGGTTTTGAGAGAGAGTTTATTCCTTTCATGGAAATCAACGTTTTCTAATGTTGACAGGAAAGCTGGTTCTGTAGTATTTCATGTACAAAAATCATAACTTGAATATTCTCCCTATAAAAGACCAATGAAGAAGAAAAGAGTTTAATTAGTGGAGAATTATGGACTAAAGATTTTTTAATAAAATTCCCTTTAACTTAGGTCTAAGTCAAATTTTTAATAAAAAATGATATTTTTCTCAAATCAAATTATTCGAGAATTTGATTCGGTCCAAACTATACTCATTCCTAATTATATAAGTGAGAAACAAAATAAAAAGAAATTATTTTTCTGTAATTCTCTTACCTGATAAAAGATTAAAGAAAGGTGTATAAACGAAAAAATATTAAAAAGAAAATTATAATTACAAGTATTTATTAGGTAAAAAAACATGAAGTTTAAACTTGTAGTTGGTTAGAATATTGGAAATATATTTGGGGAGAAATGGGTCACTTTCTGTAGATATATGCTCTTCCTCTTGCCTGCTCAGTTCCAATAATTTATTGCTATAAATACGAGGGTATATGCTCCAGTTCTATCCACATCCCAGCTTCCAGTTCCAGATACTCTTTTGCTTTTGTTTTATCAGATACTTTTTCACTTGATTTTTACCCCATGGAAGAAGCTTTCAGGAGACTAAACGGCGTCGTTCATGTGCCTGAAACTGACCCGCCGGACTCTGCCATCACGGGAATTCCGAAGAAGTTGGCCGTTTCAACCACAGCCTCCGCCGCTGCCTCGAAGACCACCGGTACTACTACAGCAGGAATGGCAACAAACAAGAGGTCAATCAAAGAGAATGGTGGCTCCGGTGGGACTATGAGGTACCGTGGAGTTCGCCGGAGGCCGTGGGGGCGTTACGCTGCTGAGATACGAGACCCGCAGTCGAAGGAGAGGCGGTGGCTTGGCACTTTTGACACGGCGGAAGAGGCTGCCTGCGCTTATGACTCCGCTGCTCGTGCTATGCGTGGGATCAAGGCTCGAACCAATTTTGTTTACCCTGTGACCGACCATCACTCCGTCAACAACGATCATCTTCTTCCTCCTCCGTTCAACTTCTCCAGGCAATCACAGCCGCCTTCCGTCAGGGATCTTAACGGCAAGCATCGTCATTGGCCAGGCTTTGCTAAACCCCAAGTGGGAGACTTCTCTGTGGAGTCCGGGCCACAAAGAAATGCTTCTTTGAACATGCTCTTACTACGTGACCTCTTGAACTCATCTTCAAACCCGTCTTTCCAGCCGCCACCTCCTTCTCGGCTTAACCGATTTCCATTAATCAATGGAACATCCTCCGCCGCTTCTTCATTATCTTCTTCTTTCCCGTTCCCCACGGTGCTGACCGGTGCAACTCCGTTGAATTCACCGGCAAGCGACAACATCACAGACTCTTTCATTGGCTCCACTATGACACTTCCTCGCAAGGAAAAGAGTTCGACTCACACCACAGTGGTGGACCCGCCACCGCCTGCTGCCATGTCAAATCCTCAAGCTGATGACACGGAGTTCTTCAGACAGGAGTCCTCCGATTCCGGTTTGCTGCAAGAGATAATTCAGGGTTTCTTTCCAAAGCCCAACCCAAAGACACCACCAGTTACTCATCCTACTCAAGACCCCATTGTTCAAACCCTGAGTGAGATGAATGAGAACAAGAAGAAGGAGCATTCAAGCGTTTACATAAATCAACGCCATGGATTCCATCCGCAGTTCCACAGCTTCAATGGAATCACGGGTCCTCAACTGGTACCGAACTGTACCGAGTTTCCACCAGTGAGTCAAACTCAGGACTGCACGTTGGATGATATCTATCAGTACCACTACCACCCCGATTTCCTAGCAGCCAGGGTTCAAAACAGTTGATCAGTCGATGATTAATTTTAGGGTTTCTCGTCACGTTCAAGCAATAGCCACTAGTTTTATCATTACAGAATGTACTCAATCCTTGAACAACCGAGTAAATCATCTTTCTTATGTTTGATTTACACGGTAAACATGGATCTTATGCTTCAGAAAATAAAAAGAGATAGACAGTAAAGTGTGTTTCTTATGGGTTAAACTGCGTTGACTTTGGGTTGTGGCATGTATTGTCGGGCTTTTGGGTTCTACGTGATCGTATAGACAACGAAAAGGCATTGGTGAAGGATCTGTGTGTGGATATTCTGATCGTTTTTTTGGTTCGCAAACCGAAGCGATTGAAAATGTAAAAAGTAAGCAATGAAAATGTGAAGGGCTAATGAGACGAGAAAGCCCTTTTTTGTGCGTCCGAGGAAAAAGGAGGAATAATCTCTGGGAAATAACACAAAGGGTTGTTTCTTCCTGGGGACTATCACTCTTGTTGAGCATTCTCCTAATGTTCTTCTATTAAGTTTTACCCTCGAAACTATACTCATCAGGCAGTCATCATAGATGATTGAAGTATTAGAACCTCGAACTTTTAGATGGATTTGTGTATTTGAAAAATCATTCCAGCAATATAAAATACGTGAAATGCAAATGTTTTGATATTGATATTGTCACAAATATCGATGGAAAATGATTAAGTGACAATGGTGATCGAAGAAGTTGATGATTTTATGCATGGATCAATTGACACGCAAATGCAATTCCAATGTCAACCGAAGCTTTTTAAAATTTAATAACAAAAACAATGTCCGAATTAGAATTTATTAGCAGAATTAAGAAGCGTGTGTTGCATGACTTGCCTTGCTGGCATAAGCTGTTAGCATAAGCTACTAAATGGTAGTTAGTTTGTTAAACGAGCAGTTAGCTTGTTAAGAGTAGTTATGTGCTGCTGAACTGTATATAAATCAACATTATTGCTTTGTAATCAAACAATGCATTCTTTCTCAATTTGTTCATAATTCTTCACCCATCTTCTAACATGGTATCAATCGCCATTGATCTTGGGGCTCTATGATTGATTTCCGCTGCAATTCTTGATGGAGTTTACAGCGAACTCGAAGGCGTTTACTCACAAGAAAGTAAACGTGGTGCTCGACGAGATGAACTTTCTTCTATGGAAGCAGCAGATTCTGCTTACCATTAGAAGTCATCGTTTGGAGAGGTTACTTACAGGTGCAACAGTTACTCCACCAGAAACTCTGGTTGATGGTGATGGCACGGTTCGTGTCAATGATGAGTATGAAGAATTTGTGGCTCAAGATAGTGCCCTCGCATCATGGTTGTTGTCCACAATCAGTCCCCATCTTCTTCCCCAATTCGTAGGTGCTGAAACGGCAGCAGCTGTTTGGAATACGGTACTCCACTTCTTTGCCAATCGATCAACGACAGCAGTCATGAGTCTCCATTATAAACTCCAGTCGCTGAAGAAAGGTGGTGACAGCATGCGTACGTACCTCACACGGGTGAAGGAGGTATGTGATGCGTTGGCATCTTGTGGCAGTTCTGTCCCACAAGTTGAACAGATTGCGAGCATTCTCAAAGGGCTTCCTAGAGAATATCAACCCTTTATGGCGATCATCACATCCATGAGGGAAACCTTGTCTTTAGACAGCATCTCTACAATGCTAATTGATGCAGAAACGCAACTAGCAAGCTTTGAGGATCAGCTGGATTCCTTACCTATGAGTGCAAATGTTGCACAGGGCGATGCTCGAAATACCTCACTGATGGGCAACAATTCTGATCAGAGGTCTGGCCATTCCTTTCATAATCGAGCTGGTGGAAGAGGTCGTGGCAGATCTAGGATTCAGTGCCAACTGTGTGGCAAAGTGGGACACCTAGTCGATCGTTGCTGGCATAGGTATGGTAAGGATTTCTCGTGTGTTACTTCTGGAAATCAAGGGCAGTTTCAATCAGATTATAAAATCAATTCCTCTTCTGGAAATTTTACAATTCCTTCTACCAATGATGGCTGTGAGTGTTGTGTCAAACGTAAGAGTGGATCTTCCACAGGTGACCAACCACAAGCTCATACAGCCTCCATACAATCTAAACGTTGGGTGGTTGATACGGGAGCCACACATCACGTTACCTCAGATGCCAATACCCTGCTAAATGCTTCTGAGTATCGTGGTCCAGGTAAACTTTTAATTGGAAATGGTATGCCTCTTGATGTTGTTTCGATTGGTGATGCTCGTGTAAATACCAATTCAAGAGTACTTGTTTTGCATGACTTATTGCATGTTCCACAAATAACCAAGAATTTGCTCTCGGTTTCCAAGCTTGCTAGGGACAACGGCATTTTTATTGAGTTTCATACCAATCGATGTTGTATTCGTGATGAAGCCACTGGGAAGTTGTTACTTCAAGGTGAAGAAAGTGATGGACTATACTTTTTCGATATGAATAATAAATCCTCAGCAGTCCATGTTGCTCAAGCAAATACCTGTGTTGGATTGACTGCATTGGATGAACTTTGGCATCGACGTCTTGGTCATCCAGCTGTTGAGACTTTAGAAAATCTAGCTTCTGAACTAGGATTCAAATTCAAGTCTAATGTAAATAAAGAATGTGTTGCTTGTCATTTGGGAAAAAGTCATAAACTGCCTTTCAATGAATCAAATTCAGTGGTTTCTTCTGCATTTTAACTTGTGTACTCGGATTTATGGGGGCCACCACATGTATCTTCCAATGGCTTTAGATTTTACATTTCATTTGTCGATGCTTTTACTCGCCATACTTGGGTTTACTTGTTGAAACACAAGGATGAAGCATATACAGCGTTTCAATTATTTCAGAAGCTAGTAACCAATCAATTTGGCAGCTCGATCAAAGCATTACAAACAGATTGGGGTGGTGAATTCAGAAGCATTTCATTGCTGCTAGCCCGTGATGGGATTGTCCACAGACTAACATGCCCACACACCTCTGAACAGAACGGTGTGGTGGAGAGAAAACACCGTCACATTGTTGAACTTGCCTTAGTTTTATTAGCCCAAGCTTCATTACCTATTAAGTATTGGTCGTATGCAGTGGTTTCTGCAGTGTATTTAATTAATCACCTACCTACCAAGGTGCTACAAGGTGTGTCACCATTCGAGAAACTGTTTGAAAGAAAACCTGAATATTCCATGATGAAGGTTTTTGGTTGCCAATGCTTTCCTCATCTGCGTATGTTTCAAAGACATAAACTGGCCTTCAGGTCTCAAGAATGCACGTACTTGGGAGTTAGCCCTCAACACAAAGGGTTCCAATGCTTGGCACCCGATGGACGAGTTTATATTTCTCGTCATGTTACATTTAATGAGTTTATTTTTCCTTTTGTAGGGAAAGAAAACTGCACCTCGACGAAATCTGCAGTCAGCACCAGCTCAAACTCACAGCCACTTCAAATTGTTGCAACAACTAAAACCTTCTGCCAGCAATTACCAAGTCAGTTACCAAATATCACCACCGTGCATGAAGAAGTGAGTATTCCAGCAATTCATAATGAAGACGAGATGATTAATAATGTAATTCAGCATACTCCGGATAGTTCTTCACAACATTCCTCTGAGAGTGTTACTGGTGATATTGTTGATATGGGTACTAAAGTTAGTAACATCCCAGATGATGGAATGCAAGACAGTGCTCTTGAGCCCAATATTGATGTCCCACCCAGTCCTGAGGCTGTTAACAATTTACCTCAAACTCGTGTTCATCACATGATGACACGTAGCCGATGTGGGATCTTCAAACCTAAAGTATTTTCATCTACACTGGATGATGATACCCCTACAACAATCAATGCTGCTCTTCAGTCTCCATAATGGTCTGCAGCAGTCCACGATGAGTACAATGCATTGATTAATAATGATACTTGGACACTAGTCAGTCTCCCCAAAGATAGAGTGGCTGTTGGGTGCAAATGGCTTTTCCGGATTAAGCACAACTCTGATGGATCGATTAACAGATACAAAGCACGACTAGTTGCCAAAGGGTTCTCACAAATTCCAGGCTATGACTTCAAGGACACTTTTAGTCCTGTGGTACGTTTTACAACATTCTACATCATATTGTCTATAGCGGTGTTGAATGGGTGGGAGCTTCGACATGTAGACATCAACAATGCTTTTCTCAATGGAGATTTAAGCGAGGAGGTGTACATGCAACAACCTCCTGGATTTGAGAAATTTATGATCTTGGTAAACCTTTGGTATGCAAGCTAAAAAAGGCTCTCTATGGGCTTCGACAAGCTCCTCGCAACTGGCATGTCAAGCTAAAAGAAAATCTGGTTTAGATGGGATTTGCAGTGTCTCGAGCAGACTCATCTCTGTTTACAAAGCATAGTGATGAAGGCTACATCTATGTTCTTGTATACGTCGATGATATAGTGGTTACTGGCCCAGCTCCTACTGCTATACAAAATTTTGTTTCTGTTCTTCATACTCGGTTTTCATTGAAGGATCTCGGGGATTTGAGTTTTTTTCTTGGCATTGAAGTTAAATATATGAATAATGCTGTCATGCTGAGCCAAAGGAAATACATCATAGAATTATTAGAGAAAAAGGGGATGGTGAAAGCAGCAAACTGTGCTACACTAATGGTGGTGTCTCCCAAACTCTCTCATGAAGAAGGACAGCTGATCCAGAATGCCAGTGAGTACAGAAGTATAGTTGGTTCACTCTTGTATGTTTGTCATACAAGACCGGATATCTCGTTTAGTGTTGGCCAAGTTGCTCAACACATGCAAGCACCACGTGAATCTCATTTTGTTGCAGTAAAAAGAATACTGCGTTATCTAGCTTCTACTCTTAACCATGGACTTCTGTTTACTCCAGCTGCACGTGCATCAGACATAGTTGCGTTTGCTGATGCTGATTGGGGGGCCAACATCGATGATAGACGGTCCATCACAGGTTATGGAATCTTCCTTGGCAAGTGCCTTGTCTCTTGGTGCTCAAAAAAGCAACGAAAAG